GTCCGCCACCGGGAAGGGGCAGGACACAGACGGTGACTGACAGAAGACTCATGTCTCTGTTATCTTTCTGTACTCATTCGGTCTTTGCCTAGTGTGTCTTTTGCCATTAAAAATATGAATGGAACAGAAGAGTAAAAGGACGGTTAGCAAAGATTGTTTAATGACATGAAAACATGTTCGTGAGGCCATGTTGTAAAAGACAAGATTCACAACTTTGTGTGTTATCGTAGCTCTGTGTTCTTGTGATAAGATGAATGTTAACGTAAAACTCTCATAATTCTCTGAGTTTTCATGTATGGCTGTTATAAACCTAAACATTTGGGGGGAAAGTTGCATTGGAGCTCAGTAAGCCTCCCTTGATAACAGTGTCATCACAGACTTCACCCAGTGGGTAAACATATCAAATTAGTTTAAAAAAATATCAACTAGAAACAGCTCTTTCAAAATAGCGCATCTTTGGACCTGTCTGGAAAAAGCAATTCCTCATCCACGGGCCAAGCTTCCCTTCCCCACACCACAGTGATGGAGCTGGACTTGGGGTTCCCGTGGTGTTCGGAGCTGAATAAGGGCCTTGCAGCCTTCTGAGGTGGGACCGTCTCCAGTGTCCTTTACCTACACGCGTGTCCTGACTGTCATGCGTCAGGGCCCCTGCTCTGCTGTGTCCTCAGGCCTCTTGGGGCCCCAGAAATTGACCCAGGACCGCAGTGCCGTGCCCGTGCGAAAAATTAAAAGACTGTAACTTTGCATGAAAAGAGCACGTAGGACCCTGAGTACCTCTAGGACTCCTGTGGAAAGTACTTCGCAGACGATGGTACAAGCTGACGCATTTAATGAATTAATCAGGGGATGTTACCGAGCGCCTACTCCGGGAAAGCCGCCGGGGAAGGGTTGGCCATTAAAGATTTATGGGTCACTCTGGCTCTTTATTTAGAATGAGCATCGCCCACCTGTGGTGACTCTCTGTCTGAGGGCCCGTGGGGTGCGTCACTGTGGAGCAGGTGACAGCTGGTGAGGCCGTAACAGCACCCTCCATGGCCGTGCCAGCCGGCCCCGGGGCCAGCCGAGAGACCGCCACCCAGCAGTGGCCCTGCGCAGGCCGCCCTGCTCAGGCCTCGAGGGGAGTGGGATGGAAGCGGAGGAGAGGGGCGGGCCTTGCTCTTGGGTAATTTCACTAGACCTTCCACCGGAGAGGAATAGTCAGTGTACCAAACTTGGGGTGCACGAGGACACCGTGGTAAACTGGGGAGGGTGGCTGGGTTCCAAGCAGACGACAGGTGACTCTTTCCTAGCAAAGAGGTCAGTGCGCTGGTTTTGCGATGTCTACCCTCTCCAGAGGGTGTCAGTTAACTTGCTGGGAAAATGGGGTGGCCAACCTCGCCAAACCTCTGGGTTCCGAGCCCCAGTTCCCTGAGTTCAGTACAGCAGTGGCCGGCCTTGTTCAGGACCACTTGCAGAGTGCCCGCTAGGACCATGGTCGGCAAACCGCGGCTCGCGAGCCACATGTGGCTCTTTGGTCCCTTGAGTGTGACTCTTCCAAAATACCATGTGCGGGCGCACACATACAGTGCGATTGAAACTTCGTGGCCCATGCGCAGAAGTTGGTATTTTGAGGAAGAACCGGTATTTTGTGGAAGAGCCATGCTCAAGGGGCCAAAGAGCCGCATGTGGCTCACGGGCCGCAGTTTGCTGACCACTGGTACAGATTGTCAAAAGAATTAATGAAATGACGAGGGTAAACGGTTTGACTCTAGAAACACTAGGTACTACTTTCCTCCTTTGTAACCTAGTGTGCTCACTGAATTTCCCCATTAAATTGCAGAGAATGTATCGATAATACAACTATTTCAATAAACATAGCTCATCACAACTTTTTTAGTTTAATAAATGGAGTAACCATAAACAACATTTACAGTGTTATTAACTCAGATAAACTGCTTAACTTGCTTTACTGAGAAGACCTTTATTCACCTTTCCTTGGATTTTTCATTCTGCCACAATAAAGCACAAATGTAAAACTATATTTAAAATTTAATCTATAAATTTAGCAAAAGCCTCTTACAGTCTCAACCCTCAACAGTTGGAGTCTCTTTTTCCATAAGTTACGTGAGCTGAGGTTTACCTTGGTTGACAGCAGTATGATGAAATGCTTAGCATATTTATTCCAGGCTTTTTCATTGAGGTAAAGGTTTTTAGCCAAAATGACTCTATTTTTTTGAATTACCTATATTAAAAAAGAACTGAAATTAAGATCCTAAATCATTAACAAACCACTTTAATTTATTAAACTCAAACCACTTTTACATTGAACTATGAACTCAAGCACAATGACTTATATAAATCATGAATTAGCTTGAATCACAAATTTGTATTTTCTAAAATTACTAAACTAGAACCAAATTGATAAAGAAGTTCCTAGAGAGAAAGGGAGGAAAAATGGGGGGAATGTTATTTAATCTATTTGAGATTAATTTTTCTTATCCATTATAATAGGACAGGAATCCCGGTACATGAAAATTTGTGTAAGGACAGCACAACTTGGCCCATGCTGAGCTGCTAGGACGATCTTTACACTCACTTGACTGTGCAGAGGAAGCTCTCGCCCTGTGTCCCTCTGTCCCATGCCCACTGTCCTGCGTCCCTCTGTCCCATGCCCACTGTCCTGCGTCCCTCTGTCCCATGCCCACTGCCCTGCCTCCCTACCCAGAGGGAAAGCAG